CAGCAACAACACAAAGTCCGACTCGTGGCACACGTCCGACGATAGCCAAAGGAACACCAACCCCAGCTCCTCCTACGCCCGGGCGAGATCACAATCACGACCTCCCACACGGCGGCCAGACGCCGACGGCCTCTCAACAGTGTCCGAGGTGACTTCAAGCGCTGCTTCAGAAGTCTCGGACGACACTGCCTCCACCGTCAGCACCAGCACAACCTCATCCACATCAACAATTAACCAAGGCCGACGGCAAGACGAGACACAGAGGCCTCTCATGTTCCGGCCTCCTCAACTTCGCTTCCGATCTGGCCCTGACACAGGCACAAGATCGCCAGAGCCGTTGACGCCCAGGAACAATCCCTATCTCTCGGACGACTATGATTCCGCCTCTGAGCTAGGCTGGGGCAGCTCATCCAATGTTTCCACCACCACAAAGGCCACCACTGTCGTCGACGACTCTGACGACAGCTGCACCAAGACGCCCACCCGGGCGCGGTCCATGGCCCGTCGGCCGAGTGTGTCGACGTCGCAACAGACGAGGACGACGGAGCGTCAGGTTGAGCGACGGAGTGAGCGTCAAGTAGAGTTCCAGACGACGGATCGTCAATTGGAAAGACGATCTGAACGTCAGATGGAGCGCAAGCCTGAGCGTACCAAGGAGCGCTCACGCAGTCGGGGACGCAGTGTGCACATCCACATTGAGCAGCCGGTTCAACAGCAACAACCTCAGCAGCAGCAACAGCAGATGGCTCAGCAGCAGCCTCAACAGACTGTTCAGACGATTCAGCAGACGGCCCAGCCCGTGCAGCAGCCGACGGTGGTCCATTCAATGACCACTCAGCAGCAGTCGGTTACCCAGCAGTCTACCATCACCCAGCAGCCCATGGTCCATCAACCCACCATTCCTCAGCAGCCTATGATCTCTCACCAGCCTGTTGTGGCTCCCCAGCCCATGATTGCTCAGCCGATGATGTCTGCTCCGCCGATGATGGCCACTCAGCCATTGTATGCTCCTCAACAGCCCATGACACAGCAGCCCATGACCACGACTACGACCACAACCACTGTGCATTCTTCATCACAGCAACAACAACAGCCGGTCGTCCAGCAACCGCAGCCTGTCACTCAACAGCCACGGATTCCCGAGTCAAGACAGCTCCCCCAGCCTGAGCGTCCTCCCTCTCGGCCTCGTGCACAGTCTCGGCACGATACCGAGAGGGCCATGGCTGCTGAGATTGAGAAGCTCAAGAACGAAGTCAAGAGCCTCAAGAGCAAGCAAAAAGAAACCATCAAGGATCTTGACGACGCTCGCTACAGGCTCAACTGCACGCAGAGCGACAGGGAGGAGCTTCGCCAGGAGAGGAACAGGGCTCAGTCTACTAGAGACAGGCTCACTGTCGAACTCGAGGAGCAGACGCGTCTTCTTGAGAGGACTCGGACTCGGCTTGATGAGCAGAGACGCACTCTTGAGAGATTCGAGAAGGACCGTGACACTTCTATTGAACAGCTCAAGAAGGAGCGCGACAACGCTATTGAGAAGTTCAAGAGAGACCGTGACGTGTCTGTCAGAGAAGTCATCAAGGACAGAGAGGTCTCTGTTGAGAAGATCAAGAAGGAGCGTGATGTTTCTGTTCAAAAGGCCATCAAGGACCGAGATGCGTCTGTTGAACAAGCCAAGAAGGAACGAGACGCTGCTCTTGAGAAGATCAGAAGAGAACGAGATGAGGCCATCGAGAGGTACAAACGCGAGCGAGATGTATCCGTCGAGATGGCCAAGACAGAGCGAGACATATCCATTGAGGCGCTCAAGAAGGACCGCGATTCAGTCCTCGACAGGTTCAGGCGTGAGCGTGACCAGGCTATCGAGGCTGTCGACAAGTTCAAGAAGGAACGCGACCAAGCTCTCGTGCAGGCAAAGAAGGACGTCGATGTTTCGTTCGCCAGGTCCCAGAAGGAGCGTGATCAGGCTCTTGAACAGGCCAGGAAGGACTACGACCTTTCCATCAAGAGGACCAAGAAGGAGCGCGATCTCGATATGAACAAGCTTCGCAAGGAGAAGGACGAGATTATCCGAGATATCGAGGATGAGCGAGATGCCATCGTCGAGAAGCTCGAGAAGGAGCGTGATCGCGCTGCTTCTCAGCACAAGAAGGACCTCGACCTTGCTATCACCAGGGCCAAGAAGGAGCGCGACCAAGCCATCAGCAAGATTCAAAAGGAGCGCGACCAGACGGTTGATAGGCTCATGAAGGAGCGTGACCAGGCCATCGACAGGTTGAAGAAGGAACGCGACATGACTGTTGGAGCCCTCACCAAGGAGCGTGACGAGCTCTTGATTATTGAGCGCAACTACAGCGACAAGGTCAAGGAGCTCGAGGATCATCTCTCCAAGCACCGTGATCTGAAGGCTGCTCTTGAGAGAAACTATGAGGACCTCAAGAAGGAGAGCCAGCAGACCACCAAGACCAACAACCAATTTGAGGCCAAGAGTATCAATCTCGAGAGGGAGCTCGAGGATGTTAGGGTCATCCGCAAGTCTCAGGAGATGGCCTACGCCGCCAAGATTTCCGGCCTGGAGATTTCCAAGGAATCCATGCAGTTCCGTGTGGACGGCATGGAGAAGGATCTCCTGGAGAAGGCCAAGGAGCTGGGTGAGCTCACCGTCGAGAGAGATCGCTACAAGACGGAGAGTGAGACCAACAAGAACCAGGTTGAGTCTCTCAGCAAAGACAAGGTGAACCTCGAGGAAGACAAGAAGAACCTCAACAAGCGTATCGACGAGTTGTCGGGCGACAAGTCCAAGTTGGAGGAGTTGCTTGGTGGTCTTGAAGGCGACAAGAAGAAGCTCGAGGAGCAACTTACAGGCCTCGAGGGTGACAAGAAGAAGCTCGAGGAAGAAGTCACCGTGCTCAACACGACCATCGAGGAACTCAAGACTGACAAGGACGCCATCAAGGCCGAGTGGACCAAGGACGTCGAGAGCAAGGAGGCTCGCATCGCAGGACTCGACACGGAGAACAACGAACTCAAGAACCAGCTCGAATCGATCACCAAGGACAAGGACGCCATCAGTAAGCAGGTCGACGAGATCGAGTCCAAGAGAAAGAAGCTCCGGAAGCGCTACGAACAACTCACCGGCCAGAACAAGGAGCTCCGCGGCCAAGTCCGAGGTCTGTTGAGCGAGCAGGACGACCACAGCTCCCAGGTCCTGCGGCTCTCTGTCGAGTGCAAGAGCCTCCGCAAGGAAAACACGACCCTCAGGACCCTCTCGGAAGCCGGCAGCGTCGTTTCCAGCTCCTTATCTAGCCTTTCATCCTCTGCGAGCACCGTCACCGACGACGAGGACGCCACGAGCGTCACCTCGGATGCCACAGAGAAGCCAGATCCAGCGTCGGTACCCCAACCCGCCTCGGTCGAGGACGTCGTCGAAGAAGAAGCACCTGCTGATGCCAAGCCAGCTGAGGCTGAGCCAGAGGCAAAAGCCGAGACTGAAAGCCCAGCGGGAGAAGAAGAAGAAGAAGTAGCAAAAGAACCAGAACCCGAACCCCCCGTCACCCCCGAGGTTGAGCAGCTCCGCGGAGAAAACACCGAATTGAAAGAGAAGGCCGACGCCGTTACAGCAGAGAGAGACGACCTCACGACCAAACTCGAAGCCAGCACCGAAAACGCCGGAAAGTTGCAACTCAACGTCGATACCGTCACCGGAGAGCGAGACACCGTCACGGCCGAACGAGATGACCTCACCATCAAGCTCAACGCCGCCAACGAGCACGGAGGCAAGCTGAAACTCACCGTCGATACCGTCACGGCCGAACGAGACGAGCTCACGACCAAGCTCGCCGCCACCGAGGAGAACGTCAACGCCGTTACCGCCGAGAAGGACGAGATCTCCAAGAAGCTCGCCACTGTCGAGGAGGAGGCCGCCAAGCTTCAGGAAAAGGCAGCGAGCGTAGACACCATCACCGCTGAGAGGGACGACCTTCAGGGGAAGCTCACCGCCTCTGAGGCTACAGTTGCCGAGCTGAAGGAGAAGCTCGCCAGCGTTAATGCGCTCACAGCTGAACGAGATGAACTCGCCAAGAAGCTTGAAACGGCGGAGCGAGAGGCTGTGATTCTCAACCACCTGCGCACCGAGAACAAGGACCTCATGGCTCAGCTCGCCGAGGCCAAGAAGGCCCAGGCAGCTGCCAGCGCTGATGTCACTGCCCTGCAAACTCAAGTCGGTGCTCTGGTGGCTCAGCTCGGAACAAACGGTGTCACTCGAACCAAGAGCGGACGCAAGCCCATCAAGGATCCCAAGCGAAGGGAGGAGATGGTGATTGTCCGTGATCCCCGGGACCGCGGAGGTGGCATGTAAGTTTTACCCCTTTTACTCTTGAAAAAGCTGAATACTAACGAGTTGTAGTCATATTGTTCGACGTCGTAACCTCAACTCTTCTACTACGAGGTCTTCTTCCCAGTCTGAGGGATCAGTCGACGCTTAAACGCCTGTACAACCTACCTACCTACCATTTAACCTTCACTTTTATGTGAAGACTACTGTATGACTAACTATATTCTCTCTTTTGTAAACACACTTTTCCTTTGTTAGTGTTTTTGTAATAGCAAGCGATGGGTTCTGTATGTAAATGTCATAAACCAAGAGATGAGCGATGCAATATCTTTGTATGAGGGTACGAGGGATACATTTAACGGATATGGGGAGCGTGATTTTTCTTTTGTATGGGATTGGATTGTAAGGGATGGGTATTAGCATTGATATGGCGTATACATAAATACACAAATTGGAAGGGCTTGGTAGTCTTGGTGATACTTATGTAGACTTTGGTAGACTACTTTCAAGGCCAGTCCCAGTCCCCGTCATCGTCGTCATCTTCCTGATCTCTAAATCTCTCTCTTGGGTCATCAACCCCCCAGGGCCCCCACTCGTCTTTGCACGTGTATCATACAACTTTGTAGCCCTTAAAGTTCTTGAACTGTGGCTTATCCCACATCATCAAGCCCTATTCCGGAATCCTGTCCGGTATGAAGGCCCCAAAAAGGTTACTGTACTCGTCCCTCCATGTCTGTGTCCAAGCAACCGATGGTTGAGCTGGGTCATCACCCTTGAAAAGGAATGGTTCTTCGTCCCGCTCTCGCTGATCTCGAGGCGACGGATAATGAATTCGCCGATCAAGCTGTGTATCCTTACTTAAGACACTATCAAGGAGGCTGTCACGGTAGTACTCGCATGGGTTTAGAGTGTTAAAAAGGCTGGTGTAGAGCGCATTGAGCTGGGTAGACGGCGTGGGCAATATTTCACGCCTATGAACTACAGACAACCGTGTTAGCTGGGGTTGTAGTTTCTCAAAAAGGGAAGCAAGGAGAGGGAATAGGACTTACAGATACATTCAACTTTCACACCCTCTTTTCCACCTGGCTCCTCGTGTCTGCTCCCAGTGGACTCAAGTTCGATGTAAAAAAGCCCATCCGCAACAAAGATACGATCATTGCTGACGTCAATATTCCAGTATAGGTCGGTACGAAACCCATCCTTGGCAAAAAGGTGAACGCTGTTGATTTCCTCCACTTCCCATGGCTCGTAGTGACCGAAGAACATGTCTAGTATGCGAACCTCGTCGAAATCAGACTCGGAACGGCCAAAAAGGTTACACCAGAGCTGGAAACGATACAAGGCTCGCATTATTCTTATTTCCTCGGTGCGACTCAGAGGAGGGTTTTCGGCTGCTGGGTTGGACTTTTTGAATTCGTTTGCGATGTTGGCAAATGCCCAGTCTTTGTACATTTTCATAAACGGCCGAACGACGACTAGATAAAACGTGGCCAAATCGCTCAAGTCATTTCCAGTTAAACCCTTTTCTAGTAATGAAAAGTCCAGCGAGGAGCGGAGTCGTTGGTAGTCTTTGAGAAATCGGGGAATGGCATCTTTAGGATGGAAGCGGTCGAACTTGGCCGGGCTGGTCAGGTGGACAGCGTAGGCATCAACAGCGAGTGGCCCCAGTGTTGTGTGCAAGGCGCTGCCCAAGATGAACTTGCGGTCGTGCTGATATTGTTGGTAAAATGTTGGGCAGGCCTTGATCAAGTTCTTTAGTTGGTCCAAATCCAGTGTGGCTAGGATAGAGAGGCGGAGCTCTGGGGGGAGTTGCTCCAACCTAGATAGCTCTGGGGTTTCTTGAACCATGGTAGGAAGGCTTTGGGGATGCGATGTAGAGTTTGTTGTCGTAGAACTTTTGTCCTCATGGGGTTTGGTGCGGGTTGATGACGATTCAGATGAGACTTGAGAGTGTGTGGCCTCGAACGGACAGTCACCAGTGTTTTCCATGTTGACGCAGAAAAAAATTGAAGGGAAGATTATTGTCGATGGCAGGATCAGACGAAGATAGGAGGGCATTTATATAGAGTAGAGTCTTGTAGACTTGTATGCAACCTTGAACTTAGATAGCCTTCTCTGCCTGCAGTCACAAAGGCTAATATAGGCAACAATATTTTACAGGGAGAATACCAACATAACATATCGCCACTCTTACAGAGAATAGTCAAGGCAGGGAGTGGAGGATGTTGTTATCTAGCGCGCTTATCGAGGCTCGCTCGTTGACTCGTTGGTCTGATGGCTAAGTCGGCGTGTACGTGGGATACCTTGGCTTGATATAAACTCCTTTCTGAGCTTCTTTTTACTGTCTTCGTTGTTGCTTCAGCCCCTTCCACTCTTTCATTCATTCATTCTTTCGATACTTTATTCTTGTCACTCATTTCGTTCCAACATGAAGCCTGCCGGCTTGTTCAGGGCCTTCTTCGGCGCTGCTCTCATTGCAGAAACAGTTGCTTTCTTCCGCGTTACTTGTGCACCATGGAAGCGCGAACGAATCGATTCCCTTATCAGCCCGGGGGCTGAGAGTTCCCATATGCATACATTCTGGGGATCCGGCAAGATCTCTGCAGACACAGTCACCGGAGCCGACTTCCAGGACGGATGCACTTCGTGCGATAATCAGCTTGACAAGTCTGCCTACTGGATGCCTACTTTGTATTATGGTCAGTAGTCGCACATATCAATGGCTGGCAAGTAAGTTGGCGGGCTTACATCTTTTTAGTCAAGAAGAATGTCACTGTCCCCGTCAAAGTTGGCATTTTCCACGTGTATTATCAAGGACAAGAGAACAGCCCAGGCCTTTACCCCGAAGATTTTGCCCTCATCAGTGGCAACCCCAAGATTACTGAAGACGAAATCCGAGAGGCGGGTGGCAACGGTATCAACTGGGTGAGTGGCGGGCGTTCAGCCTTCAAACGAGACATGTTGCTCACGAATGTAGCATTTTGACGAGAGCGACGAACTCAAGGAGAAATGGCAGTTTCCCAAGAAGCGCGGCACTGGGTGGCTACGAGGCAACATTCCCTTTCCGGGCTGGGTAGTCAAGGACGAGGCGTTGGGTCGATATCGTGCTTGCAATGACACAGGCCACTGTGTTAACATCGGGTCATGATGTTATAATGTGTTGAAGATCTGTTCTTTATTATAGTTGCAGCCCGGCCCTTGATGGGTTAACTGAGCCCGAAGATCGTCTTGCTGACTTATACCAACAGGACACACCTATCACGGCGATTTCATTATGGGCTGGGACAAGTCAGCATTGGAACAAGTCTCTCACAACACAACCGTGTTTGCCAAGATCGGTGGGGAGGCGGCGTACGTTCTCAGCGATACCTGCAACGCAACGGCCGAGGCCACGACTTATCTTTGGGATCCTGACTGGCAGACTGTCCTGGTGGCAAAGAAAGGGTCTCTGACTGAGTCCGTCGTGACTGGTACGTACGACAACTTTTTGACCATCACGGATGGAAAGAGTGTCAATTCTACGTGGAGTGGTAAGTGGGGAGAAGGGGGCAGTTCCGTCGACGATGGGTAGAAGGCACTTGACGAAGCATCTTCTGTTTCTGTTTCGTCTCCCTCGACATCAACGAGTGCTCTATCTACCATGGCATCGTCTAGTGGAACATCGGAGCTCTCCCAGACGACGCTATCGACGGCCACCATCTCCGCCACGGCCCAAGAGGTTGAAACCGCGTCAACGGCTACCCTGGCAGCTTCTTCAACAGCCAGTACGCAGCCTTCATCCAACAACAACAAACATTACTCTTCGAGCAAGACACACTGCCACCTCCACAAGGAGAAGAAAGGTTGCAAAACTTCTCCTCCCAAAGAGCGCCAAGATTGATCCCTGAGCACCGAACCGATATTCTAATGGCTGGAACCATTTACGTAGCCGACATGCCACCGATTCAGGGTCTCGTAGCATGCGGCAAGCTTACAGCTGGCGGTCTAGTTTGGTAGTAAACTTGATTTAGTATGACTTTGCTGGCAACAGCATCTTGAACAAGTACCCGGAGAACATAGAAAAGAACCCCGTAAGACTGCTACTGGGCTGTAAAGCCACCATCCACTGGAAGACAAACGCCCGTGATCCATCTGGCCTCCTGGCTTGCAAGAAAGATGGCTGCGCCCACCAAGTCCTCTGGGACGCCCGTTCCGTGAAGTGGGTGTAGAGATCGGATAGACTCCATGTCGTTGTGCTTGATTGTGTCGGCCCAGATGGCTGTCTCGGTGTCTGCAAGTTGTTAGAAGGGCCCACAAGGTTTCAGGTGGGTACTCACATCCTGGACAAATCGCGTTGCAGTGAATGCCGTCCTTGGCGTAGTCCAAGGCCACCTGTCGAGTCAAGTTGGAAACAGCACCCTTTGAAGCGCAGTATGACGCTACGCAGTCAGTATCTGTCTTTATTCTTAGGTCTGGCCATCTTACAGATATGTCGACCCCCAACACTGCCGTATACCGACGATATGTTGATAATCCAGCCTCTATCACCAGTCTCGGGCTTCTCTTGCTTCAGCATCTGCGCGATGGTGTACTTGCTCGTCAGGAAAATGGACTTGACGTTGACGTTCATCGTCTTGTCCCACCACTCTTCTGGTGTCTCATGGATCTTGAGTGGTTTGTGTCCCGCTTCGGCAGAAATGCCTGCATTGTTGACCAGACTGGGGCACGTTAATACTTGAAGTTGGCAAAGCATGAAGACGTGACTCTTACACGTCAATGCGTCCAAACTCGGCCACTGTTTTCGCCACTAACGCCTCGACAGCTGTAGCCTTGCCCACGTCTGTCTGAACAAAGATTGCTTTCCCTCCTTTCGATCTGATAAGCTCATCAGTGCTGATGGCTTCTTCCCCATTCACATCGAGGCGTGCCTTTGGCTGGAGATCTGCGCAGACAACAGAAGCTCCCTCACGAGAGTAGCCGAGAGCAATAGCACGGCCTAAACCGGACGAGGCGCCCGTGACGATGCAGACCTTGCCTGATAATCGGTGGACGGACGTTGGAGCGGTCATTTTAGATGATTGAGGTATGGTCTTGGAAAAAGAGATTTTGTTCAGTTGATAACAAGTCTTTTGAGTAAGACGGAACAAGTCTCAACGTCACTCAAGGGTGGTATCTGACCACCCCATTAGCCACGGCATGTCTATTTAACATGCTCACTTGCCTGCTACGCAACAAGGTTTCCGGCCTTCCGAGATGGGCAGGCAAACCGATCTGCCGAATTTATGCACTCGAACGGGGGATCAAGCCGAAAACGCGGGGTCGTCGGGTGAGTTGCCAATGTCTCAGAACTCGGTATATGGGTTTATGGCCTCTGGAGGGGTTGTGCAGCCGACTGCATACAGCGTGCATGCCGAGGTCGACACGGCATGGTGTCCGGGAAGGGAGAATGGCGATATTGAGAAAACATGGAATTTCAAGATGTTGTTGTATTATTCTATCCCTTTGGCCATTCATCAACAAGCTTGGCCGTGTGAAAGCTAGTGGTCCATCCAAGATCCCTCTGTATCCCTTCTAGCAGCTTCAAAACAGCCTCCTGTTCACACCTCTCAAAAAACACTTGCCCCGCGACAAACAGCGCCTGCACAGAATTAATCCTCATCGGATCCGTGGGATTAGCCAGGCTGATACCACATATCTCTCTCGCATGGTCGTGTACTTTGGTTTGGATCTGCCGGTAAGAGTTGAGACGGGCGGAAACTGTGGAACGTATGGCTGTTGACTCTTGGGGTCTGTTGACCAGGAGGAGGATCATAGCCATGTGGTAGTTTTGCATTGTTGCGGCGCAGATTGGTAACTCGTACCATATTTGCTCAAAGTTGGTGAAGCATATCTCCTCACCTCCTGAATATGCCGTCCTGGCACTCGGTTGAAAGGTCGAGGGGAGACTATGATACCATTTTTGCAACTCTGCCATTAACAATTTCCATCGCTCAAGAAGTCGCTCCTGGGTAACTCCGACTGGAGGACGCTGTCCATGAGGTAGAGCGTAGTCCGTGGGGTTGATGGCATCCCCAGAAGTAAGGTAATTAGATATTTTGCCCAGAAGCCAGGTTAGCTCGTTGCTCCTGGTGTCTTCCTCAATATCGGCCGAGGTGCGAACGTCTGCTGAGCCGGGAGGGCTAAATGGCATCAGAGAGCCGTTTTCGTTTGTAGCGAGACCTGCATTCTGCCATAGGCGCATGTCTTTTAGATCAAGGCGAGTCTGTGTTTCGCTGATAACTGAACTAGGCTCAGAACCTCACTCAATATTCAGAATCGGCGACAACTTACACGCGCACAACAGGTCTTGCCTTGCCAGACTCCAAAAGATGGGGCCTTGGATTGCCGTCCGAGGGATTACTACTGGTGACGGGGCAGCGAAAGGATCCGATTTGGGGTCAAAAAGCGGCAAAGCTTTCAGATGTGCTCTCCAGGCAGTATCAGGTGCATCCATAAGTTCATATATGCAAAGTATCGCCACAGCAGCAAGCATGTCCTCCTTATCACTCAAGTCATTTTCATATGCTCGCAAGTCAACCGCAGTTTTGAGGTGATTGATAGCTTCGCCATAATGCTTTGCGGACTGGTACTGCCAGTCAACAGCGTAACGGGATGCATAAAAGCTGTTTTCAGAAGAAGTCTCGGCTCGACAGAGACGATCGAGATGCTTGGCCGAGACTGCGCAGACTGCTGATTTAAGGAGGGGCTTTGTGGCTGCTATGACTGGGACTTTGCACGAGAAGTAAGATCCCGTGTCAAATATGTCCATCCTGAGATCTTGTGAGAACAGAAGACTGTGTGGCAGAGATGGAAAGACTCACCATTGGCCAGGACCTTGCTTGAAATGCCTTAGCAAGTGTAATGCTGTCAAGTTTGATTTTGATGCTGGCTCGTCTATATCTGGTGTTTGTGGCTGTTCGGGATAATCTTGAGGTTCAACTGTTGGAGTTGAGACGCATACTTCTACAGGTGAGTCAAGAATGACTCCATGAAAGTCAAGAACCGGAACCGATTCCGGTTCTGCTTCCTGAGCATCCCCAAGCCGTAGGGGAGGCTCGTCTTGCTGTGCATAAGGGTCTTTGACGTGTATAAACCGAACTAATCATATTTTAGCTCTGCCATGAGATTAAAAACTGATCAAACTCACGCTCAGCGGGCACATGAAGCCACACATGGTCATCCTGGAAGACGTGTTGATCTTGGTGTTGGGAGACGCTCACGTCCTTGTTCTTGTCTCGCGGTGATGTCTCAAAGTGCCGAAATATTGACCTCTGAGAATAGCAACATTCCCGAGAACCCCTGCGACAGGGCCCGCAGATGGGCTTGACCTCGTCACACTTCAGTTTCCTTCGCCTGCATGTTTGGCTGCCCAGGGTCAGTTTTGCTCGGCAATTGAGAGGACACACTTACCAGCCAGAGAAAGAACGCATCCTGCGTTTCAAAGATGAGACTTCAATGTCTAGACGATGTGAACAAAGAGTTTTCTCGGTTCAGAGCTTCAAGTTGACTCATGGAGATGAGGTAATGAAGCCGAGTGATGGTGTCTGTAACGGGTTAACAAGCCGAGGACCCAACATCGGGAGAAATCAAGGCGAGTGCGGGGTCGATACTCAGCGGCGATAAGCGAGACCGTATGCCCAGAGTCTATCGTCAACCATTATAAGAACTCAATGTTTTTATTCTCGTATGTAGTAGGTGAATCTGCAAGTCTACTATTTCGATATTGCCACTCTGACCATGGCAACGCCCTTTTCTGTCTCTGGCAAGACTGCCATCATCACAGGTGCCGGCTCAGGTAAGTCACACCAAGTACCTCAACCCCCCATCACTAACACTTCAAGGTATCAACCTTGCCTTTGCTAAGATACTACTCTCTCGAAACTGCAACGTCGTCTTGGCAGATCTTTCATTGAGACCCGAAGCAAAAGCTCTGCTGGCCAAGTATGAAGACAAGACTTCGTCTCCGAGGGCTGTTTTTGTGGAAACAGACGTGACGTCGTGGCCGGCTTTAACGCGCATGTTTCAAGTTGCTCTGCGTGAGTTTGGTGACTTTGACATTGTTTGTCCCGGAGCTGGCGTCTACGAACCAAACTGGTCCAACTTCTGGCACCCTCCAGGATCACCCGAGAGCAAAGACGGCACTGACAGCGGCCACTATGCTCTTCTTGACATTAACCTCACACACCCTATTCGAACCACTCAGTTGGCCATAGCCCACTGGATGCATCCTCGCACTCCCTCCAACTCCAAATTCCCCACCCCTGCTACAGCCTCAACCGGAAACCCAAAGCGGGTAGTCCATATCTCCTCGATAGCAGGCCAAATCCCCGTCTTCCGAGCCCCCATCTACGGCGTCTCCAAGTTTGGCATCACGGGTCTCGTGCGGTGCCTCGCAAACCTCGAAACAACCGGGATCCGCGTTACCGCCGTCGCACCGGGCGTCGTGCGCACGCCTCTCTGGACAGAACATCCCGAGAAGTTGGAGTTTGTGGATGAGACGCGGGATGGATGGGTTACACCTCAAGAGGTAGCCGAAGCCATGTTTAGCTGCGTCGAGAGTCCCGAGCACGTTGGAGGGACGATACTCGAGGTCGGAAAGGATAATACGCGACAGGTGGGAGTTTACAACGATCCTGGTCCGGACCTGAAGGATCCGAGCAAGGGATTCACTACGAGTAACTCGGGGCAGGGGGACGCAAGTGTTTGGGGTTGGCTTGGGAACAAGGCGATTTGGGGTTCTAAGCTGTAGGCTAGAAATGGACTGCCGGTCGTGCATAGATCTTCATCGGATGTATCATTCCTATGCCGGCTTGCTTTTGGTGTGAACACATCGAGAAACCCGCATCTTGTCAAGCAATACTCTAATTTGCTGCAGTTATTGTGATATCTATCACGAGCCGTGTTATCAACTGCATCTGCGTACGCGGGTTACCGACATGGGCAATCCCAAAGAGTCAAATGACCACCTCGGCATAGTTTCCCCTCTGAAGAGTGGACGCCACCTGAACATCATTACACCGAGTTGCAGGTGTATGCCCCACGCGCTATGGGGGGCCTCAACCGCGCCAATTAGTTGCGGGTTTACGCAATTGGGTTCGTGGTACATTGTACCGAGTCCTCGCTTCGGCTTGTTGGCCGCTAGAGTTGAGCCTACAGTGGCGTTTGAGGTGCAGCTCTCGGCTTGACTGCCATTTTGGGGAGTGGGTGAGTCGTCGACGCAAGACAGTTGAATATGATTTCGGTGAGGATGGGCGTTGAGCTAAAGTAAAGAGAAGGAGTATGCTTTGTAGTACTAGTATAAAGAATTCATAGTCGCGCATTGTTGTCAGATATTCGATCCATAATCGTAGTGAAATTGCTTCCCAAGCCTTTTCCGTCAGCATCACCATGGATCAGCCTGACGTTCTCATCATTGGCGCTGGCATGTCCGGCATTGGACTCGCCGTCCAGCTAATCCGCCAATATGGAACTCGGAACTTTGAGATCATTGAAAAAGATGCAGAGGTTGGTGGCACATGGAGGGTTAATTCCTATCCTGGCTGCGGATGCGATGTGAGTACAACAACACAAACAGATATCAAGCGTGCTAATGCTCGATAACAAGGTCCCCTCTCACTTCTTCTCATACTCTTTCGCCCTTAATCCCGACTGGTCCCAGGCATATGCGATGCAGCCCGAGATTCATTCATACTTCAAGAGTGTCGCTGCCCAGTATGAGATTGAGAAGCACGTTCGATTCAACTCAACTGTCCAGTCTGCTCGTTGGGATGAGACCTCTGGGACATGGGGTGTGATATGTCTGGATGCAAAGACCGGCAAACTCACCACCCGGCGCTCCAAAGTCCTCGTTTCGGCGGTAGGAGCACTGTCTATCCCCAAGGCATGCACTATTCCTGGTGCATCAGACTTTACCGGCCGCATCTTTCATACCGCTCAGTGGGACCACTCGTTTGACTGGAATGGAAAAGAGGTGGTCATGATAGGTAAGTCTTCCCATCTCACCCTTGAAGCGGCTCAATAACTTGTAACGCGCTAGGAAACGGCTGCAGCGCAACACAGGCCCTCCCAGTCATGACTGCTGGAGATGGAGCCGTCAAAATGGCAACACAGTTCGCTAGACAGTCACACTGGGTTGCGGAACGTCCAAACCCGAAACATTCGGCCTCGTTCAAGTTCATTATGAGATGGGTTCCCTTTGCGATGCGCATTCACCGTGCGAGGCTTTACTGGCAGAATGAACGAAATTTCCACGGGTTCAAAGTCGTTGAAGGACTCGGCATGCGAGGTCAGTGGGAGAAGGAGACCACTGACTACATACGAAGAACAGCTCCGGCCAAGTACCATGAGTTTCTAGTTCCCAAGACCGAGGTTGGGTGCAAGCGAAGAGTAAATGACACGGATTATCTCGTCTGCCTGCATCGTGACAATGTCGACTTGATCTATGATGATCCGATAGAAGCCATCGAAGCAACAGGAGTGCGCACAAAATCAGGTCGACTAGTTAACGCCGATGCCATCATCCTCGCCCATGGATTCGAGACCCAAACACCCTTGTTCCCCATGAAGATATTCGGAAAAGACGGTCTTACTGTTAATGAACATGTAAGTACTTTCAGCAAATAGTTACGGACGATGCTGACACATTTATAGTGGGATCAAGTTAGTGAGGGTGCGGCTTCGTCATACTTTGGAACCTGCTTATCCAACTTTCCCAACTTTTTCATCATGATGGGCCCCAACACTCTGAGCGGGCATCTCTCCGTCATCTACACCTCCGAGTGTCAGATCAACTTTACCTTGAGAGCCATTCGACCCATCCTAAAGAATCGAGCCGACATTGTCGAAGTCACAGCAGACGCCGAGAAGAGGGACATTGACGAGGTCCAACAGAAGGCAAAGAAGTTGGTCTGGGCCACGGGATGCACATCATGGTTCATCGAGACAAAATCTAATAGGAACACCATCATGTTTCCGGATTGGCAGTACAAATTTTGGTGGAGGAGCCTCTTTGTGCCGTCAGGCGACTTTGAATACCGAAGGCTAAGGCAAAATCCTCGGGGGGTGGAAACGAGGACATCAGGCCGTGGACTGCTTGTCATTGCTGCCGCTACCCTTGCTGTTGGCGTTGGATCTATCTATCTCCAGGTTCTAAAGTGGTATGACTAGCTCATGTTCGCCTATCAAGACAACTACGGCGAAAGCCTTTCCCGAATACTGTTCATTTTATTCAGCTGAGTCCAATGTGGTTCCAGTCGTGATGATGCTTGATAAGTTACAAAGCTTAAGGATGCTACTCTCTCGGATCAGTGTCTACCAAGAACAGAGTTAGCGAAATAAAAGGGGACCTTTTCCAGAAGCCTCAACTGATTCTTTAAATTAGAGCCATGAATTATACTAAAATCACCAATGGAGTGTACCGTAGCACCCACGTTTCACCAAAACGCCAACTTGCCAAGCATGCTGGGGACCTGTCACGCTAGCATCTTGATTGGCCATGACCTGTCAGGCCAGCCTCAACCACCCGAAGCTGAACCTCCTTCAGCTCTACTTTCCTCTCAGCATGAATTTTCACCTGCAACAACAGCCGAAAGGGCCTCTATTTCCAACAGGGGCGGTCTCCTCTGTTTGCATTTTCTTCCTGACTGCGAAGCATCAGGAGCATTCCCTGTTGCTACCGTTGCGGCCTTCCAGCCCCCATCGTCAACGTTCGGCTTCTTTATTGGCATCGCCGCAGCAAAAATGGCGATTCGGGCGGCGCGTTTGAACACCTCTAACCTAGGAGGCCGGTTCTGGAACACCATCCGTGAGAATTGGTATCTAGGCTTCACTTCCTTCGGAGGACCCCCCGTTCACTTCAAGATCGTGAGTAGCCTAGCACTCTTCTATGCAGCCAATCATGACTGGCGAGATCAGTTCCCTTGAGGTCAGTATTGACGATGATGGATGCTAGTTCAATGACAAATTCGTCACCAAGCTATCATGGATCGACCAACAGATGGTGAGAATCGCCTGCATTCACCCAACGGTTACCTGCTAATCTCCGCAGTATCAAGAGCTCTTCAGCGTTTGTCAAGCTTTCTCGGGACCCGGTAGCACAAAGATGCACTATTGTATCAACCTCATCCATGACGGCTTTCTCCCAGCACTTCTGGGCTTTCTGATTTGGAGGTACGTCGTGTTCAGTCCACGCCGCAGCGAAGCTAACAAGGTAGTCTTCCCGGCGCTCTCGGCATGTATGGACTCTCTATTGGAGTTTCTAATATCGGCGACTCCCTCCCACGAGCCGTCTATGCTCTTCTCTCTGGTCTCAACGCTGCTACTGTCGGTATCATCGTTCTCGCAGCGGTTCAGCTGTCAGAAAAGGCCGCTACTGATACCATGACGCGGATCCTAGTTTTCCTAGGTGCCGCAGCCGGATTGATGTATAATGCGCTGTGGTACTTCCCGTTGCTCATGTTTCTGGCGGGCTTAGCGACTGTTGCTCACGACTTTCGTTGGTTTCACAGGCCTGTCAAAGCTATGGTTACAATGTTCAAGAGGGAGGCCAGGCATTCATCAGAAGACGCCGTTGAAATGCAGATTCAGCAAGAAGCGGCTGCAATAAGTATCCATGCTGAATCTTCTACTAGGCAGGATAGCAACCAGTCGAGCCACGAGCGAGGAACACTCCCGGTTTCTGGGCAGGACGTATCGATAGCCGAAGGAGAGCCTCGAGTGGTGCCTCAAGAGAGACGTCTCAACATCGGTTGGAAGTTTGGACTGTCTCTGATTATGCTCTTCCTAATCTCCTTCGTCGTGGTCATGGTCCTCCGTGGGACGTTGCCGAATAAGCCACTCTTGTACAGCCTCTTCGCCAACATGTACCTGGCGGGTACCATCATTTTCGGAGGAGGACCAGTGGTGATTCCACTTCTCCGCGAATACATCGTCGCCGAGAACTGGGTCAGTCCTCGCGACTTTCTCATCGGTCTGGCCCTCATTCAAGCCTTTCCAGGGCCCAATTTCAACTTTGCGGTATATCTCGGGAGTCTCACTGCTATCAACGGCGGTTTCAACTCTGCCACCGGCGCCATCCTTGGGTTTTTGGGCATGTTTGTCCCTGGGTTGATTACGGTTCATGGAACGATGGGTGTTTGGGGTGCGATACGTGGATGGAGATGGGTCAAGTCGTCGCTGCGAGGAGTCAACGCCGCTGCCGTTGGCCTCATTTACACAGCAGTTTATCGTCTTTGGCAGATTGGATATATTGACCAAGGATTTCAGCAGGGCACCAGTTTAGCTGTGGAGCCTTGGTGGGTTGTTGTGACGGCTACGAGTTATGTGGGCGGTTACTGGTTTCGAGTCAGTCCACCTGTGGCCATTGTCACTGGAGCTATCATGGGTCTCATTTGGTATGGTGTTGTGTCTACTTGACCATCATCTCACCCATATGCGATGTCGTCCCTGCTTGGGGAGTGTTTGAGTGTTATTGCAGCAGCTGGTTAATGTGCAATTCTATCTCCACTGGAGAATGAGTGGTTTTGGGCATAATAGCAGAATGATTGAGTGTTGAAACCCATCACTGAGTAACCCAATGCAGACATCCATGCTTGAGACAGGCAAGAATCAGCCAGCCAACCAACAGACTTGCAGGGGCTTGAATCCTGCTTGGCGAGATGCACGTGAGTTGCGGGGTGAGATGTTACTTGGATCCCACTTGAGCTGATGTCGTTGTCACCTTTTCACCCACAACCACCAACAATCATGGCTCTCGAAGACCTCGCCCCGGAGCTTCTACTGCTTATACTATGTCAAATCGACACTCCTAAAGACCTACATTCATTCATATCAGCCTCTTCGCATTGTTACCGTCTCTTTGAGGGCTCTCAAGAGCACGTCATATCATGCGTCTTGAGAAACGCCTTTACTATTGAAAATATTCACCATGCCGTCGCTTCGCTATCACTGCCTGCTGCTCATAAAATACCACGGCCGAGCAACATACAAATCAGCTCTGCATTGGATCGATACTTTGATGGCGACGCTTTGGACCTTCCTGAGGACAAAGCATCTCTGGTTGCTCTATGCCGTTTATATCATCGCGTCAATCGATACACAGAAGACTACTTTCAACACTCTTTGTACATCTTAGGATATGTCCCAAGCTGCAACGCCGACTTCTATCCTTCCATCAGAGAACGGACTAGGTTCTATCGTGGGTTCCTACGGCTCGAACTCTTCTGTCGCGCCTTCTACGATAGAGCATACCCCGATGAACCTGAGCCCGGCAACTCGAAACAAATTCAGTTCGATGATTTCATTTCTCGTCTGGAACCATGGGAGGTGGAGGAGATCAGTTGCGCTCTCTGTCATCTTGTCTTTGTTGTCGAAGGAGCTGTCGATGCCGTGGAAGACAGCCTCTACCAGGCATTATTGACCAACCCTTCAACGCACATTATGCCACCCGGCCAGGTCCCCCCGAGAGAACTTACAAGCACAGACATACCAGATGGGGGCTACTTGGTCCGTTGTGATAGCCTCGACAGAGAGGGGTTGGAGCTGTTCTCAGAGAGGGGAAAATATCTTGCGCCTGAACGCATCATCTCCCTCGCAGCACTCGGCCTTGGCTTTGTCCATCACCTTGTCAAGTCTGACAACAACAAGAGGTATCTTTTGGTCCAAAGAAAAGCAAGACGTGGTCTATTTCTACCCGATACTTTGGACGCAGCACCAAGTACCGATTCGGAAATCAAGACACCAGACAAGTTCAACAACATCGGAGTGGACCGGCCGAACTTGGGCTGGTTCTGGTTCAAAGCTAGAGAGCAACATATTTACTCGGGCTGGCACCCGACATATGACAATTGGCGGCTTCGAGAACGGGCGTTTGTGTTTTGGGATCCAAGAAGGATACGGAACTTGAAGGGGTTGTATGCCCAGTTTCCAAATGCCAGAAAGGGGCGTGTTGATGGTGTTTATGCTCGCTGGAGTAGGGAGAGCCTGGAGGAGCGTGTATCTGACATGTGGATACCAAAGATAGTCGTGAACGAGATCCTTCATGGGTCTGGTGAGCTTCCCCCGGACGAGGAAGACTACTGATGGAGAAGGGACGTGTTGGTGCCTTGTCCTACAGAGCTAGAGTTAGTTACACAGAATACTTGAGTACTCAATAAGAACAGGCATCGTCACCGATCACAGTATAGAAGCAGGTATTCAAGAAATCGTCATCCTTGTGGTATTCATTTTTGCTAACTAACTAATGCGCAAAGAGAAACAGAAACTGTCAATTCAGACGCCAATTGTATCCATTCAAAATCTTGGCATTTTACAATGCGACCAAAGACTTAATCACCACCGCATTTTACAGTCGGGGGATCGTCTTGGTGGCGCAGCAAGAGGAGGGAGCAGCCTCCTCCTTGGAGCCGAACGCATCCTTGGACGCGGCGTCGACGCAGAGGGCAGAGGGGGGAACCCACAGGCCCGGGTTCTTCTGGTAGAAGTTGGCGGCGCGGAGCATGACGCTCACGGGCTCGGCCGGCATGATGGGGAAGTCCTCGGTTCGGGGGAAGTGGGTGAGGCCGAACTGGATGTAGCAGACAATGTCGGTGTTTTCAATCGACTCGTCGCGGGCTACCCAGTCGAGGATGGTGCTGTTGTGAGGGTGGTTCTCCTCGCCGGTGGACTGGCACACGTAGTCACCAGCGGGGAACAGCTCGTAGTCCTTGTAGGGGACGACCCAGAGACTCTTGCGGGCAAAGGCGGCGCGGGAGTGGACGACACTGCCGGGCTTGGCTAGCAGACCGGGGCAGTTGTTGTTGAGGATCTTGTAGGCCACGGGCTTCTTGGCCGAGGGGTTGATGCTGCTGGGGTTGGTAATGGCCCAAGAACGGCTAGTCTCGTGGCAGTAGTTGACAGCAGCCTCCTTGGAAGTTCGGAGGGGCGTGTTCTTGCAGTAGAAGCCGTTTCCGTAGGGATTCTCAGGGGATCCTACGGGTGCCTCTGAGGGCAGAGCATCGTTCTGGACGATCGAGTTGTTGGGGCCGTCAACCTCGGGGTCAACTCGGAGGGAGAAGATGTGCTGGTGGTTGTGGGCGTTGATGGTGGGAGCGACCTCGGTGCCGTAGGGGGCGGCAACCTCGGTGGGATGCATGCAGTAGGTGTTGAGCATGCCCGTCAGCTTGATCTCGAGCTTGTAGGTACCATCGAGGGTAAAGGTGTGGTAGAAGCCGTACTCGTAGTTGGCGGCGGTGATGATTTGCGAGATGATGAGCTTGCGGTCGCGGGCGGAGATGACGGTTCCGTCGCGGTAGTCGGTGTGCTTGTACAGGAGACCGTTGTCCTCCTCGTGAATGCAGATGGCATTCTTGATGACGGCGGGATCACCCTCGCCAGTAGCCATGACGGCGTCAAGGTAGTGGATAGCGCCCTTGCAATCACATCCCAGCTTGAGCGAGTTGGTCATCAGACCAGTACCATACTCACCAACGTCGAAGGCGTGCTTCTTGTGGTGAGGAGGCTCGGGGTTACCATAGGGAACCACCATCTCGACGACACTGATGCGGTTGAACAGAGTGCGCTCTCGCTGCTCGTGCTGATCCTCCATGCGGACGTCAGACAGAACAATACCCTCGCGGTAGTTGAAGCCAATGTGCATCTTGTACCCGGCCCACGAGATCTCGTTGCCTCGCATGCGGAAGGACACGCCCTGGGGCTGGGTGATGTTGATGGGCTTGAGGGTGCCGTCGATGTAGTTGTTGCCGATGAACTCGGGCATGTAGTTGTGAGAGGTCAGAGGCACCTTGGTGCGCTCTCCGTTGACGAGGCGGACGTCAACAGTCAGGACCTCTTCCTTCTCGGTGTCGACGACGACAGAGAAGTCGAGGGGGTGAGCGTACTGGTTGTCGTTGGGAGAGGCTCGGTAGTAGGCGAGACCCTGCTGCAGACGACGCTCAAAACCCCATCGGTTATCGACACCAATAGCCCAAGCATCGAGGAAGACCTTGGACATGTCGTCGATGCCAATGTCCTTGCAGGCCTTGATGACACGAGGGTCGGCACGAGCGACACGCTCGCAAACGTCGAGATCCTCGAGAGTCAGGGTAGGACCGACCTCTGAGACGGCGTTCCACTCCTCGACCTTGGACTCGGCAATGTTGGCGACAACCTCGGAGACCTTGCTGGTACCCTTCTCGATCACGATGGCAAAGGCGCGACGGGCAGGTCGCGGGCCAGTTCGTGCGCGAAAGGCGGCATATTCAGCCTTCTTGGGCTCACGAAGAGTGAGGCAGTTGAACTTGAGAGACTTGGGGCTGGCATAGTCACGAATGATCTTTGCCGCAGCGCGAATCTCTTCAATCGATAGCGGATCTAAAATTGTAAGTAAAATCCCAGTCAATTGACAGAGTAAACTCACCGAGAGGATGCGAATTCTGAGAATTGGACAGATCGGGAGCGGCGTCGTTGGGCTCTTCCCGAAAGATGGTGTAGCCGGCAATAGAAGAGGTGTCTGCAATCATGGTGGGGGTTGTCGGGGCTGAGCGACTGTGCCATACGGTGGTTGATAAAGGTGTTGTAGGGGTGGTGTCCAAGGGGCGATGCCTGGAGACGCTTTGATTTGGTGTTGATAGAGTTGTTTGAACGTGCTTTGCTTGACTTGCTTGCTTTGAGGCTCAAAAACATTGTCTCAAGTCGAGGAAGATGCCTTCTTATAGACGAAGCAAAGACAAACCGTCGGACTCTACCGGTGGCGTCCTCCGTGACACCGCTCCGCGCAGCGGACGGCCTCACGAGGGACGGGAGACTCCACACGGTGATGCTTACGGGCGGAGAGCTTCAAACAGAAGCAAAAACGCTGGCTCGCCATTGGTCTTACGAGCCGCGAAAACGAAGCTCTTCCAAGAACTGCAGTTGAATTGCATGTTTGGGAGCCTCGTTTCTTTCCCCGACTGCCGCGCGCGACCCCGGCAGTTAACCTACAGCCGCGAATAACTCCTCTTTCTACGCTATCCGAGGAAGGGCAAAGGATGGCAGGAATTCGAGATTGAAGAGATCCACTTGTTTCCTGATTGTCCTTATCGCCCTGTGTCTCAGTGACACTCGCGGTGGCTGGACCATCTACCAGGGACAGCCAGTAAGCACTTTCTCGCTCCCAGCACAAAGTGTCCAGACTCTCTCCTTTCGCCCTGCAAAGCTTCTTACAGGGCCAAGCTCGAATCTCTTTGTCACGGCAACCAATCGCGCATCCTTGCCACTCGTCCAACCAACAAATCACCATACCGTATACGGCAGTTGATTCTCAGTTTTGAACCCTTGACACACGCTTAACCGCTTCCGGGTAACGTTTTGCATTTTTTGTGTTCGATAAGGAGCCCCCGAGATAACCGACAGGTGATCGCTTCCGCCGATGTCGCCTCCGCGGACACGAGGCCCTCAAT